CAAAGATCAAAGATCAAAGACCAAATGAAACATTTTTTTAGAATAGTTCAAAAGAGATCGAGACCGAGATTGAGGCCGAGGCTGGGGCTGAGACCGAGACCAAAGACCGAGACCGACCATCAAAAACCAAGGACCAAGGACCAAAGACCAAAGACCGAGACCAAAGACCAAAGACCAAGACCAAAAATCCATAAAAATAAAAAAAAGATTTCTGAAATTTTTTGTGAAAAACAATTTTTCTAAAAAACAAATTCTGAAAAAAAAAAATTCTCAAAAACAAATTCTGAAAAAAAAATTTCTAAAAAAGTTTTTCTAAAAAAAATTAAAAATTCTTTTTCAGAAATTTTTTTAGAAAAAATTCTTTTCAGAATTTTTTTTTTTCACAATTTTTTTAGAATAGTTCAAAAGAGGCCGAGACTGAGAACGAGACTGAGAACGAGGCCGAGGCCGAGGCTGAGACCAAAGACCAAGACCAAAGACCAAAGACCAAGACCAAAAATCCATAAAAATAAAAAGTCCACGAAATGCCTTAAAGACATTTCGGGGACTTCTGAAAAAAAAAAAAATTTTTCCAGAACATGTTTAGAAAAACAATTTTTCTAAAAAATTAAATTCTGAAAAAAAAAATTCTAAAAAAAATTAACAAAATTTTTTTCTAAAAAAAAATTTAAATTTTTTTTTCTTTTTTTCAGAAAATGTTTAGGAAAAAAAAAATTCTAAAAAAAAATGTTTTAAAAAAAAAAAAATTTCTAAAAAAAAGTTTTTAAAAAAAAAAATTTTCTGAAACTTTCTTTTTGAAAAATGTTAAGGAAAAAATTTTTTTTCAGAAACTTTTTTAGAACAATGTTTTTAGAAAAAAAATCCAAAAAAGTATTTTATATGAATATTTCAAAAATCACCCAAAACATGAGAAAAAAAAGGATTTTTTTTTATTTCAGATTTTTGACAAGTAACAAAGTAGTGAAGAATTTGTTGTTTTTTAATGTACGTGTTTTATTTTTTTTTAACAGTTTGGTCATGCAAAAAATCCAGCATCCATTCAGAACTCAGAGTACAGACACGTGTTGGCCTTCAGTTTCTGTTTACAATGCAGTGAAATCTACAGGAAGGCTCGACTGGACCGGCTACTGTTTGAGGCTCTTCTTCTCTGATGCATGTTTTACGTGAGAGAACCATGACTAGCGTTCAACAGCTCAGACACGACACCACCTGGAAGGTCAAGTCATCTGTGTTGATGACTTGACCTCCCAGGATACGAGGAGCACAGATTTCCTTTTCTGTAGCAACAGTGAACGAAACGATAGCAGAAAGTTGACATGCATAAATCTCCTCTGTGTAAAACTGTAGACGTAGTATTCTGGGGTTTCTTTTAATTGATTTTTTTTTTTTTAAGTTTGTTTTTGAACATTTCAGGATTCTCTCTCTCTCTCCCTCCCTCGCTCTCTTTGTCAGAGTATTTGAACCGAACATGTAAACTGTCTAAGAAAAAAAAAAAAAAGCCGAATAAACATGATTGTCATCATGAAATGGAATACAATTTAAGATTTGACTGATTGATTTAGTGCTTCTTAAATGCTGGGTCGTGGCTCAAAATGGAATGGGTCAAGAAAGAAGTTCTGTTTTACCATGGTATTGAGTATTTTTTTTTGCACCAAGGCAAGAAGGTCACTGATTCAAAGAAAGATTTTTTTTAATCTTTAAATACTTCTTCAATTACTCCAATATTTCCCAAAGGCTGGGGTTTCCAACCACCGGGTCAGGGAACAAAACTGGGCCATGGATTTGGCCAAGTTTTGTGGTCATTGGTCAACAAATCACAGTCCTGCCAGGGCCTGGATTACTACTGAGGGGAGTATTGATTGATTACTCTGATAAAGTATTGATAATAATTAATTAATTTGTCACGACCACATCATCAAAGCAGTAAAACACCTGAACAAACTGAATGGCTGTTCAAATACTTAGGCAAATTCACCTGCACGTCACTCCTTAATGAATACTTTGCGTCATCACGTGAGAGCGATCACACACACACACACAGACACACAGAGAGACAAAATAGTCTAAGTCAAAGCATCGTCGGATCAGCGGAAGCATCAGAAAAACGAGCAGGCAGCGACAGGACGACTCATAACAACATCACACTTCAGCACTGACTGGACATCGAGCGTTTATGTCACGGTGCAAAAGACCGGCGGCGACATCGACAAGGTCACAGCGTACGGTAAAGTAGGAGGAGCCAAAATATTTAACTGCCAGACGACGTCACTGCACGAACACAGACTATGGAGCAGCAGAAGACGGAGACGAGGACGCTTTTCTACGACACAGTAAACGACCCCGCTGACCCCTCTTTGAGCTCATGTACTTATACTGTGCAACATATATGTACATATTTGTACTGTATATTGTGTATTCTAACTGAATCAGACACAGGTGTATTTGGGACCTGGTCCCAGAATTCCACTGTCTGACCTGTGTCCATCTGTTGTGTTGTTGTTGTCGTGGTCATAGACTGTTCATACAGAGTGGACGTACAGTCGACGTCTAAATGTGAAGCTGCTGAAGCAGAAAGAAAATTCTTACAATTACAACCAGATTGGAACCAATGGTAAAATTAGATCGATCTCAATCGTCTGCAGGTATCGTTGAGCTAAAACAAAAAAAGCTAGTTCTCGCTAACATTTAGCTATGTTCAAAGTCAGGTTTCCTGTGGTTTTCTTTATATATTTCCTAAACTGTAGCTCAGCCGTCTTTTAGCTTTTTTAATGTCGGCCGACCTCGGACTATTGAAGGCTGAGGGTTCGTTAAAAGTGTTTGAAGTCTTCTTCCAAAGACTTTCATGTGATCTGGACTGTGCAACTTTCACCTGGTAATCAACCTCTGGTTCTTATATACGATCTATGCTCTTTAAATATAATATATTTTAGTAAAAAGTGAAAAAACAAATTACAACAGTATCAGTAACAAACAGAATAATAATAAAACCTATGATTTAATCCACCATTTAATCCAATTAACTTTCATTTCCCTCCAATGGCTCGGCTGCATTCCCTTTACGTCATGCTTTCTTTTTTTTTCTTTTTTTTTACAGCAGGCCAAGACAGACACTAAACAGATTTAAAGAACGTCAAAACAAAAGACTAGCATCGTCTTCGTCTCTCACTGATTTCGATGAGAATTACCAGACACCTAGTGGACAAGACGAGGATTTCAGGAATGATGGAAGTTTTCATACGGACTACAACCTGAAGTTGCAGAAAGGTTCACTCCACGAGGATCAAAAACCACAGCATTAAGTCACGACTGTGTGTACCGAAACAGTACACTGGGGGGCAGTAAAGCAGCATTAAAAAAAAACAAAAAAACAACAAC